TGTGTGTGTGTGTGTGTGTACATGTCAAAAGGTGCTGATGAGCGATGGGTCATTAGTTAAACAGATGCTGCACAAAGTGTGAGTGTCTTCAAACTAAAGATGTACCTCACATGTAGAAGCACGTCCTGATTTTACCACTAACCCTAACACTAACCCACAGGAAGAAATATATATTTTTAAAAAAACAGCAAGGAAATTGTTTTACAGACAAGTGCAAATAATTTGTTTACACCCATCTGCTACTACAGCTTTAATATTGTGATAAAATTAAAATACATATTAGAATAGTAGCATTTCTTTCCAGCATGGAAGTACAGTAACTTGGACAGGTGAGCTAACCTGGTTTCCACCTGTCAAAACTACAAACACTGGCATTTAGCTCTGTAAAGTGAATAATTTCAAAGTAATAAAATTGTTTCGATATTTAACAAACAAAAAATCTCCAGTTCATCTGCAGAATGAGGCAACTAAATTAATAAAATGGAGCAAGCTACCAAGCTCAAACAGAGCTAAACAATACTTATGTGTTCCCTAAATGCAGATAATACTTGACTCACACATTTTTTTTACATTTAAAGGGGAGTAGCAGAATATCTGCCTTCAGATATGCAAGGTTGTAGCATTCATGTTAGTGATGCTGGAGGCAACGAGCATTAGTGACAAAAACATCCTGCAGCACTGTTGAGCATACCAAGCTGTCCATATTATCCCTCGATTGGTGAGTTAGGAATACTCCGGGCATTTTTTGCCAGTATTGCAGAAACAGACATCATGTGAATGTTGTTAGGTGGTAGCTGCTCAAGTATAAAGCTTTTAAATCAGGGACAGAGGACTTTTTTTTCACAAGGGCTACACATGACATCTATGCTTATGTTCAACTTAATAAATTTAGTAGACATGGTTGATTAGCTTAAAGGCTATTTGCCCGCCCTGAAGGGCGAAGACCTTTTCTCTAAAAACAACAACCTTCTGTTAGAAAATGTTGACTGCTTAGGTATAAATTTGTTGCACAATTATAAGATTACTTACATAAATGCAGTATCAGCTTTTAAATTAGGCTACATCTTGTTAATTGGTATGCATTGCATGAGCCAATAATGAATGATTATGTTATGAACATGGACTCGGGCTGTTTTTATATAATGGTAATGAATAATTCGAGACTGCCACAACAATCATAAGTGGTGCATGCTCTGTTGTATTTCAGGTAAACAGCAGTACACACTCATTGCAATCATTCACAATGGTATTCATTAGCATAATGCTGCCTTTTGTTTGATTTTTGAGGGGAGGTGTAGCGATGAAAATGAAAGGAGAACATTACCATTTCCACACAGAGGGAGCAGTAGTTGGTGGCCTCGTTCTTAATGTAGATGTTCATCAGAGGACTCGGTTTACTGCAGCTGTCGCAGGGGCCAAAAGTGGCCGCCACGAAAGTCTGGTCACACATGGCTGCAGAGGATCACCAGCACACCTGCAGAAACCCATAAGACACACACATAAAGATGACTTTAATCATCAGGATTACATGGAGGAGGGTTTTCTTTGTGGCTCTTCTGGTTTCTTTTCTCAGCTCTGACCACTTGTCTTGTTTTGCGTTTGTGTGTGTGGAGCTGTACAGAAGATAAGCAGCTGGTAATCTACTCCAGCCTGATCCTCCTCTGAGGAGAGAAGCTATTCTGGGAACCACACACATCCAGCAACACCGAGTTCACAGCAGTGCATGATAAAGGACTTCCAAATCTGAACTAAATATGGTCATCCAAAATATGGATCAACATTTTATCGCTTCCCTACACAATTATATACATTTAAACTGAAACTCAAACAGTTTCCCTCATTTATAATGAATTATCATTTCATGCCATTGGCTTTCCATGACAGTATAACTCATATAATGAGTAAATAATGTATATATAGAACAGCATAGTGTCATATTGGTAGATTGCATTGAGAAGTTTGCATACAAACTCAAAAAAGTTCGTTTTCATTTGAACTTCTTACCGTCCTTTGATGTGTGATGTAATCACATATCAACTTTCTGTTTAAGTTGTCCTCATATGATCTTTTGTATCAAGTGTCTTAATCATTTGGATACATTTAAATACCCAACATGGTCTTTGATGATTTTATCTAAACTGCAGAGTCAAACATCTAAAACACCAGCTTCCAGTCAGTCCACACAGATAGCTGCCATATCAACAAATAACAATAAATCTTACCTTACAAAATACTTTTCCCCCTCTGTAGAGCAGCTGCTTGTCTCTGGAGATCTAAGTGGATGTTTTCTAGTGAAGAGGATTGTCAGTGAGGGACAGAGAGGGAATGGTAAGCTTCTTAGTGAAGCATTTAAGCCCCAACTCTGCTCTGCTTTTACCACCATGCTTTATACACTCCTGCAGCATTACCTGTAAGGCCTGGGAGGTTACTTTTACTGTGTAACCCCAGTGCATTAGTCTTTTGGATCACCACCAGCTGCACAATTACTTTATGGCACCAATTTACCAGTTATAAGCACAACCGGATTTGCAGAGGGTTTTACAGAAAAAGTGAAAATATTTCAGTGAGCAGCACTTCTGTGGGTGAAAATGTCTCATTAATGTCAGAGGACAATAGCTGGAGTGCTTCCAGCTGATAGGAAGGCAACAGTAACTCAAACAACCACATGTTACAACTAAGGTATGCAGAAGAGCACGTCTGAATGTTCAATGTGTTGAACTTTGAAGCAGAAGGGGCCCTCAGTATCAGCTGGTATCAGTTGGCCATCATTTAAACCCACAGTCTGATCACTTATTTCAGAGTGAAAACACACCTTCTGATGACTGCTTCCAGAAGGTTGACTCACCGTGTCATGAAGCTCAAATCATTTAAAAGTGTTTTTAGACTGTGACAGGGAGTTCAGTGTACTCAAATGAGCGCCAAAGTCACAAGATCTCAGTCCAGTAGAGCACTTTTTGGGAACCGATTTGCACCACGGGTCAGCTGACATCTGCAGTAAATTGTGTGTGATGATGTGATGCCATCATGTCAATATCAAACAAACTCTGAGGAACGTTTTCAGCAGCTTGTTGAATCGGTGCCACAGAGAATTAACACCAAGCCAAGTGGGTACTAGCGAGGTGTAACTAATGAAATCTGCTGTTCAGCAAAATATTGATTTGAGTTTAAGCATAATAAACATTTTTGTTCATCAAAAGCTCAGAAAGTACAGTACCGGTACCCTCAACAGATTAAAGGCAATGACATCTAAATGAAATCAGGGAAACTGTGTGTAAACCTTCCAATTTTCAGGTTTTGTGCTTTACCTCAGAAATCAGACTGCTTCACCCCCCAAAAGAAAAAACAAAAATTCCACATCTTATTTTGTTTCATGATTACCGGTACGTTTTCCTAAAACGACCCAAAACTCTCAAAAATAAGAAACACGGAAACCCAAACAGTGCGGAATTCTTTTATTTTACTTTTACAGATTTGACAATTTATTCCAAGTTTCTTAACAGTGAACACATTCACTAAGCACAGCTACCAGAAACTACAAACAGTCCAGTTTTTCCAAATGTACACATGGGATCGGAGAGGAAACATCTGGTACCGGCTTCAGCATGTTCACACCAGTACCTCAAGAGCTGGGGAGGGGATGTATCTCTTTTTAAGTTAGTTTTGAACATTTCTTTAAAACGGCACAATTTATGCTAGTGCTGATGAGAACAATGGTAATTTATAATGTCTGAGTCATATCATACAGCCGATTCTCTCTTTAGTATGGAAATGCAGAGTGAATGAATGACATATTTCTCCTGTTTGAGAGCCCAAGAGAAGCCCAGGGGAACAAGATGCTGCAGCAGCTCTGCTCAACTAAGAAAGTAACACGAACCACTGAATGAATGAAGATGCATTTTGTTTTTACTCTGAAACTAGCTAATCCTTTGCAGTGTCCTCTGACTCTGAGCTTCATCTCTGACACCTGTGCCACACATCAACTTATAATGTTAACAAAGAGATGTTAGTCAGTCAGGACATTACCTAGAGGAAGGTCAACAGGCTGCACTTGTGTGAAAAGAACGGGGAAGTTTGATGGATTTATTTTTACAGTCCATACCCATCTATCGTTTATCAGATTTCCTCTGCAGTGTTGAAAAAAAGTTCATTTTGATGTCTGTGACACCAACTGCAGGACCGAATGACACGCAATCAAAATAAAAAAACACATTTCTATTCATTTTACAGTGAAAGAAAAAAAAAATACTGCACTGACAGAACAAAACAATGCCATAATGTTCGTTGATCATGTGTGTAAGTCATTCAGATAGCAAGTGATTCAGATAAGGCTTGGTCTACAATGTGCAGCTAAAAATCATGATACACTTCAATGTTTTTAAACATTCATATAATTGATTAACTCCTTCAGTAACCATCTTTCTTACGACTACAAGATATGTTCTCTTTGCACACAACATACACCAAACCAACTACAAATCCAACCAATATAACAAAAACATGGTCCCAGGAAAGTGCAACACAAAATAGCTTTACATAATTACTCCACTTAAAATTAGAGTTTGGCATTCGTACGTCACCTTGATAGTTTTTTTCCCCCCCTCTGAATGTAAATTTTACATCCTTGAAAAGGTTTGAAAAATTTAAATCAAAACTGCAGAATCCAGTTCATGTGTGTAAGGAGAAAATATTCCATCAAAGTGAAATGTGTTTTTTGAAAGGGTAAGGTCACCGCGCAAAATAAGGTTCACATCAAGGCGAGAGGCAGCTTAATACTAACGGTACAACAAGGAGTAAACTAGAAGTGCCAAAAGAAGAGGCAGCGAACGAAGGAAAAGCTGTTTTCACACACAAACTCTGAATAATGGCTGGTGAATCGGGTCACTGCATCCTTTTACTTCTTTTCCACTGTGCCCAGTCTAAACTGGTTTTATACGTTTTCTCAAAAAGCACTTGTGCCCAACCCCAACCAGTGATGTCAGTGAATATAGGAGGGGCTATCACAAGAAACTGACCAATGACTGGCCTGATTTCTTCACATGGAAATGACCCAAAATCTGCTGGTAACACTGCATAATAACAGTTTCTCACACCTGCTGAAATGTGAGCTTATTCTCGGAACTGTTTTCACATCAGCACTGGTTCCAGTACTGCTGCCCACGTAAGTGGGAAAAGGGGATTTTGTTTAGGTGAGGATGCCACCTGGGTAATGTAGGAGGTTGGACATGATACACCCATTTAGCTCCTTTTTTAACGTGAGCTGGCAGGTTAAATATATTAAATATCTCATGCAACTCTTCTCACAAATCCAGCAGGTGCATGTGTGAAAACTACTTCAATCCCAACATGGGCAGATTACCAGACACTCGTCCGACACTTCACCTGTGCCTGGGTTTCTCTTCTTTAAAATCAAAAGCATGCACTTGGATTTTGCCAAACCCATGCAGTTTAAGTGGGGGCAGCAGGAGTAGCAGTGCATGCAAGCAAACAATCTGAGCTGAAAGAACATGTGCACCAACAACAAAATGACAAAAAACAAAACTTCTTTGTCACCCTTAACCCAGCTGTGAAACTGAGAAGAGGAATAAATGAACACATTCTGTTTTTCTGGTAATAAAAGTCCACGTTGGGACATGCTGAGTGAAGGTGGACGGGTAGGAGATGTAAGAGGAGTCGAACAGAGCTGTGTTTGTGAGAGGATGCAGCAGAGGGAATGTAAAGCTCAACAGATTTTTGCAGCCTTTTGCATCTATTCTGCTCAGTAATACATGGCTTTAGATTATCTTAAGAAAATAACAATACTGAACAAAGTAAATAATCACACAATGACAACAGTAAAACATTTTTTATGGCTCTGAGCCAGATGACAAGAAAAAAAAAAACAGTAAGCAGAGTGTAAGGTTGGTACTCATACAGTATGTGTTCATGTCAGTGTTTCCTGTGACGCTCGGCTTTGGTCACAGCTGTAAACGGTGCAGACTGTCGCAGGTTAAACCCTTTGCAGAGTTTGAACCTTAAACCTTCTCAATCTGTCCTCGCCTATAAAACCTGTGCTACACTTCATCTGCCAGACATGCAGGCTAAACATGACAAAAAAAAACATCTCAAGGTTTAAGACGCGACCTAACAAATAATTATCTGTGCCGGCACTCATTAAAGATACTACATATTTACCTGATATTGACATAATAGCCAAGGAAGCAACTAAAACTGTCTCTAAGAAGCCGTTTGCCGTGGGAAAGAGTGGTCCCATCCTTCACTTCGGACACATTCGCTGCTAGGGGGAAGCTTCTAATCTTAAAAAGGGATGTAGCTATAAGTGCAATAAATAAAATACAGGATATATATTATTCATATTTATATAGATATTTATTTATGTATAAATAATATAGTACAGATGATGAATTTTGTCTTGGCTTGACGTGTTCAGAGAATAAAACGTACAAAGTGAAATCTGCTCAGTGGTCACCTCAACACGGGGTGGAGAGAGCGCTGACTTTTTCACCTCATCATTCAGCTGCCCTCACACAGGAGCTCAGAATTTACCCAACATGAGGGCAGACTGCTAGACTGACAAATCATAACTTGTTTTGAGGCTTCAGCTCCACCTGGTGGGCCTGCTCTCGTGTATCGAGACAATAACAATAACAACAACAACAACTATCTTAACAATTACTGGAAACGCAGATGAAGGATCGATGGCGAGTACTGGAGGCATTGATCTGGTCCTGTGGCTTCTCTAAGAGGCGGGCGTTTTGTACAAGCAGCGGATGATGCTCAGGGCTTACGGCCAGATTTAAACCAGCGGAAATAACCACATGTGTGCGTATCTGTGCGTTCGTGAAAGAGAGAAGGCGAGTGTGCGTCTGTACGTTCGGAGGATGAAAGTACTTTACAGATGTGACGTGTCTGCATTTTTCATGTATGTGCGTGCATGTCTGAGTTTAAACTAGAGAAACTGCTGAACCCTTTCACCCGTTTATTTAAACATGACTTCAAATCGTGTTAACGTGAGTGAAATTTGCGAGTGTTTGTGGTGTTTTAAATTTTTCGGGGAGACGGTGACTTGCAAATCCGACTGTGGCCACTAAGACAAATTCGCCGCAGGGCTCAGAGTGCTCTGGTGGGCTCGCATTAGACACGGGTGAGGAAGGCCAAGTTGAGCGAGCTGGGGATCTGGATGGTTTCCAGTGCGAGGCAAGAAGGGTTAAACGGGAAGGTGACGGGATAGATCATCTTCGTGTCCATCAACAGCTGGGGACTCTCACAGCGGTCCCGCAAGCGAGTCTGGAGAGAGAGATGATGGAAAAAGTTCATGTGCATTAAACAAAAAAAAAAAAGGTAGTAGACAGAAAATATATTAAGCCAGTCTGTTTGAAGACTCGACAAGTAAGAAAAGTTATCTTGGTGCAGAATCGATTGCATGAACTTTAGTTCGTAAATACCGATCAGTGCAGTGACTCAGATCTGAGAGGACCCTTGAGCTCAACATAGTGCCTATGGGAAGTGTCAGGGAACTGTACTTGTTATCAAATTTACAGCTCTCTTATTACAAGATAGCTACCACTAAAAAGTAACCTGTTACTTTAAAAATAAATTATATAAACACCGTCTTTGCAATTATCTATCCAGCTACTGTACATCGACTTTACTTCACTTCACAGCGAGTCGATCTTGGCAGCACCCCCTCCACCACATAAACAAGCGCATTCATTTCCATCAGAGCGACGGCTTTAGGCAAAGCCAAAGCTAGCAGTTGTGGTTTTGGAGCTGTAGCTACATATCATTCTCTTCCTCACCAGCATTGTTGCGAATGTAGTTTTAACTTGACGTTACTTCTGACATATTTCTCTCACATGACATATATTAGCACAAAGGAAACTGAATATAAAAGCCATCCCCATCCAATGCTGACCTTAACATGCACGCTGACACTGGATGCATTCATCTCTGCAGCTGTGTTGCTTGGTGTTTCAGTTACTCAAGCAGAACAGAAGTTTCTGTTTATCAGATGCCCAGAAACGCCAGAAAAATGCTGATGTTTTTCAAAGCAGCACACATTCATTGCCTTTACGGTACATGCACTAGTTAACAACAACAGGTGTCTCAAAGACCTCACAATATTAGTGACAAAACCCAAACAATCAGACAGTTTTCTACGAGTGACCGCTTTGAGGAAGAACTTCCTTTTAACAGGAAGATAACCCGGGCAGAGCCAGCCTCACTCAGCTGCAGCTTGCCTGGAACCAGAAAAAAAATGACCCCAAAACACTGAAGATAAAGCAGTATAGACTTGATTTAGCCAAAAAAGAAATTACCTGTATGGTTCGTATGAATGC